ACCACCAGCAGGTCCAGGTGGACCCCAGGCTCAGAAGTGCTGCTGGACCACCTCCAGGATGATATTGCATCATCATCCGCACAGGAAGAAAAAACAGTGGTTTGAATTCTTAGCCTCAGAGTATTTCAGATCCCTTCTTAACCCATTATCTGTAGTCCCCAAAGCTTTAAATGTCAGTGTATTGCATCAGAAACAGCTCTCCTTTCTTGCTGCTGGATCCGAGCCCCTCCTGCCACCCCCTTGCCTCCAGCTCCCCCTCCGTTTCCATAATAAGAGCAAGTTTGTCCAACATCTCAGAAATCAGAAGGGGAGGGGGTGGGGGGGGGGGGGGAAGAGGAGAGGAGAACACAACGACGGAGGGATTCGGGATCCATTCTCCCACTCACTTCCCTCCTTTGTCACCAAGGTTTGAGGTCAGTGAAGCCAGGACAAGCCATCCCTTCCCTCCTCACCACCAGTGTTCACTAATCGGACCAGGGGTGACCCTGGACACGTGTCTTCACAGTGCAGAGGCATAGCAGCCACAGAGATTGCTAGCAGGAGCTGGGAGACAGGGACAGAGCCTGGGGGATGTTTGGGAGGGGAAAAGACACTGCCATCCCACAAGGATACACCAAAGGGGGGCAGAGGGGAACAAATACCCGTTCTGCTCTGACACTCTCTCCGCACCCCAAGTCATACATTACCTGGAGGCCAGAAGGTCCCCTCGTTCACCTGCCACAGAGACACGAAGAGCAGGCTGGCCTGAGCTGCACGACAGCAAACACCTCAGCAGGACACAGGGATCAGAGAAAGCAACATCGAGAGCGGACTTGAGCGTGTCATCCTTTATACCAACCACGCAGGCACAAAACCACCCCAGCTTTTCTGTCCGTCGCTTGTGTGCGGCATTATCCCCAGTCCTCCTGAGGGGCAAAGATGGCCGACCTGCCCTGTTCCCTCTGCTTTAGCGAGCTCACCTGCTGCGGGTCCTTCCCTTCACTTGGGGTGAAGGAGGAAGATGAGTTCCCCACCCCAAAGCCATGCATGGGCACACAATCCCTTTTTTAGGTGGAAAGCACAGAGAAAGGCAAGAACAGAGATGGGCAGAGAGAAAGAAGATCAGGGCTTGGGGATGCCACACACTGGTTCACCTACTACCCTCACTACTGGCCCTCCTTTGCACCAATTAATTTGAAGGTGGAAAGGTTTTGGGCAAGAAAAAGCACAGAGCTGAAGAGGGCTGCAGGGAAAGGCTGGCGGTGCTTTCCCACCCTCCACCAGATGGCTTGGCTCCCAGAGAGACAGCAGGCACATGGCTTCGCTGCTCATGGCTGCAACAACCAACAGACATCAGGCTCTGGTGTTCCAGAGGCAGTTCCAGCCCAGGGGCAGGATGGGTTTTTTTTAGTCCTTCCCTTCTCCAACCTCAGCACCTGGTTCAGACAAGATGAAGGAGCCTCAACGCTCACCTCAAAGAGTTCAGTGTTGGGAAATGAGGATCTGATACAAACCTGCCTCCTCCTTTGCCTCTCTCACCACCCCACACACCCACATGCTTTTGGGTTCCCTCTTGTGGAGGTTGTTTGGGAGGGCAGCTGTCCCCACCGCGCGCTGGCCGCGGAGGTCCCGGCACAGCAGTACAGGCAAGGCTGGACAGAGAGCAAGCCACCACCTTGGGAAATCACTGTGCAAAAGTCAGCTTGCTAGTCCCCGTCCCCTCCAGGGACAAGGAAGATTTTTAATGACAAGCACTCTAGCTCCCTAAGGATAATAAACACAGGGTTAGCCAGACAAATTAGACAGAAACATTGATTGGTTTGGCCTTAAATCAAAAGAAGTTTAAATGATCCTTGAGAAACAGGGAAAAAAAAAAATGCATTTCATCCATAAAGTCCCTTCTTCCCACCACAACAGAAGTCTAAATTTAATTTCCTAAGAATAAGGAAGTGAGTAAGTCCAGGAGGAGGACAGGGCCAGAGTCCTGCAGAAGAGCCCCAGCGCTGCTCTTCCAGCAGGACCTTCTCCTCCTGCCCAAGGGGGCAGAAGGGAGAGGCAATTTGGAGGGAGAGGCAGAGAATGATGGAGCAAATAATGGAGGAGAGGGGAAAGAAGGCAACAGGCTGTATTTCAGGAGTAGGAGTTCCAGATATTGCAGCTGTGGGCTCATCTGAAACTCCCAAGAGACAAGGGTCATACCTCAGCGATGAAAACATGACTTGCAGTGCACTAAAAATCCCCAAGGATGCCCGTGCACAGGAAGGGCTGGTATCAGGGGAGAGGCTGCTCCCACTGTAAAAGATAACGAGGTGCAACCCCAGCACGCATACACTTTATCCCCTGCTTCACAGGGCTCTGGTGCTGCCAAGGCACCCATGCAAAGACTGACTTCCCTTTCTCTCCTGTCTTCAGCAAGGCCTAGCACTGGGCTTGTGTTGTCTCTGAGATAAGGCAAAGCCAAAGGTCTGAGAGTAGATCTCAGGCTTCCTTCCAAGAATAAAAATGAAAAATAGCTTCTTCCTTCCATACCTTTCTGCTACTGAATCCCATGAGCTAACACACCTGCTCTCCTCCGGCTGCCCCTGAGGAAAGCATGTTTCCTTTGTGCTGCTCTCATCTTGCTCAAGGCAGGCTCCTCCTTTCTCAGCTGGGTCCCCATTTCTCTATAATCTCTCTATGCCCAAGACCTCCACGCAGCCGCTTGGCACAAAGACCCTGTGACTGTGACAAGATTCCCTCCTGCTGCATCAACAAGTCTGGACTTAGAAGAGCCACAGCTTCCCTTTGGGGGAAGAGTGTTCTGCCTACCAAAGCTTCTCCCTCCATTCTGTTCCCAAAGGGGCTTTTCTACCTGTGGGGAAGACACAGCAGAAGTAGGAACAGTGATTTAAAAAACCAAACAAACAAAAGCAACAAAAAAGAGGTTCCTTCAGTTCTTCTAAGCAGGCATTATGGCACATGAGATGTGGAAGGAGCTAAGATGAACTCCATCTCAGTTTGATCAGAAAAATATGTTCATCTTCATTCTGTTTCAGTCTCAGTCTTACTAGGCAATCAAGTTATCTTTCTTGATGTTTTTCACTTCTCTAGAGAGGGGAATAGGAGAGATACAGGAGAGAAAGAAAGAGATACAGAGATAGGAATGAGGCACGAGGGTGGGAATGGGCTGGACAACACAGGAATATGGAGCCCTGACGGAGTGAGTTAATGGCAATGGAAACCCTCCTGCTTCAGCACAGCTGGCCTGATGTTGGGGTCACTCTTCCTTATGCCAACATTTTCCTCCTCCTCCATACAATCCTCACTTCTCTGCTTGGAACATGAGCGAGTCTTTCCACTGCAAGGCTGACACAGCAAGTTCATCATGTTTTTCACCCTCTTCCCACTACAGCCTGGACTCTGCGCACCCCATCAAGCCATCTGCTAAGGAAGGGTGGTAAGGGTGGAGACATGGATCTGCCTCCTCGATGAGCTGAATCAATCCAATACAACAACAGGCCAGATCCTGACTACCCATCACTGGCAAACTCTGAGCAGACACTGGCCCAACCAGCTGCAACTAGTGTCTTCCTAGATCCCCTCTCTTCTGCATGGTCCTGTCTGCACGGCCCAGGCTGCACATGTTCTCTGGATTGCATGATGGTCCCAAAACAGTCTCTTGGCCCCAGGGGGAGTCTGCCCATGGCCCCTTTCTCCATGAGCTCACTCACACCCTAAGAGCAGACAGTTGGATCCTATGCCTTGACAGTCTTTGTGTTTCCCCACAACACTCATCCCTGACTCAGGGCTTTGCCCTTCTCCTCTCCCTTTTACCCCACGGCAAGAAGGAATAGCCAGCATGTTTAAGCAGCAGCCCTGCAACAGGCACAGCCCACGGGGTTGCAGAGGCAGCCAGAGAAGCACACGATGGTCCCACGTGCATAGCACTGATATGCAGAGCCAATGCTCTCCCTGGCCCTCTCCTGTGAATTCCCTGAAAAGTCATCCATGCCGAGACAGAGATCACAGCTTCTGGATCCCACCATTTCCTGAAAGCCCACACATCCAAGCCCAACTATGTCCCCTTCCCCCCCAATACTGGTAATGAACGCCCACGTGCATACCAAAACCATGCATGTTAGCACTCATGCACATAGGAAACCATGCACTTGTAAACATACGCTCCCACCATCTGATTAAGTCCCCTGCAGCTTATCCCAGCCCCAATAGAAGCACGTACTGCAGGGAAGATGCTTCTGCTTCTGTGGGCCAAGCCAGTGCAGTGTTGTGGGGGCAGGGGTAAAAAAGTTTAAAAAAAAAAAATCGGCTTTCTCCTCTGCTTCCTATCTGCCTGCTCCAGGATTGGTAGAGCATCAGGGCAAGACACAGCCCAGGACAGATGCAATAAGCCGGTGGGAGGAGGCTGCATCTTGGGGAGAACACCTTGGAAGCAAAGGATTTCCCTTCCCCAAAATACTCTTTGAATATAGAGGTATACAAAAAATAAATGCATACTGAGATACTTTTGCACATTCAGTCATCCAAAAAATGCCTGTGACACACATCTGCACACGTGACCACTCACATCGGTTTGTGCCTGCTGACTCACACGCTCAGTGAATAGCCCAGGCTCGCATCTGTGCTTGCTCCAATCCACAAAGGACGAGGGTGGACAGGAACAGCTGTCCTCTCTCCCCATGGGACCCTCCCAGCCTCCCCCGGAGGAAAATCTGCCAGCTGGCTGCAGAGATTCTCTCCAGCCAGCAGGAGAGGTCCAGGAGATGCAGGAAAGTCTTTATGCTACTGCCAGAATAGGTGCCCAACATCCCTCCTCCTCCTACCCAGGCCTCCCTTCACGTGACTGAGGAATTCACATCCCCAGGCATCACCCTGGGATGAAGGGAAGAAGAGAAGGAAGGGAGGGAGGGCAGAGACCCTGGAGAAATGGCACACCCCACCTGGAACTAAAGAAAACAAAAAAAGAAAGGAACAGACGAGCTTTCCCTTTGTTGTGAAGTTCTGATTTCCCACGCGAGCCCCAGTGGCCTCACGCAGCACCCTCCGCTTTTCGGTAGGGGTTCTCCAACAAGTAGCGGAACCGCTGGTAGTTCTTGAGCAGGTACTTGGGAGCATACATCTGCTCCTTGGGGTCAGCGGGGGGATACTCCTGCGTAGTACCATCGAACCAGCCACCAGTCCGGATCAGCTGCCGGATATAATTGAGGTCTCGTTTATCCTCATAGTCACCCCAGCGGGGGAAGTCCCCATTCTGGGCCGACACCAGTTTGAAGTAGATCCCCTCTGGGGTGAAACACCAGGAGCAATGCCAGCCAGCAAAGTGGAGAGGGCTGCCCAGCGACCACTGCACCAGGATGTGTCCTGTGCTGTTCTCATACTGCCGAAAGCCAGGCATGGTGTAGTACTCGCGGCGCCGCAGACGGATCCCGTCAGTAGCATAGACAGCCTGGAGCATCCCCATGGTGCAGCCCGAGACCACCTCCAAGGTGCCTGGTTGCTTCCAGAAGAAGCCGTAGAGTGACTTGCGCATGTGAAAGGCGAAGGGCTCCGTCCAGCCGTCGTAGAGCTTGAGGAAGAGCACGCCATCGCGGGCCGGGATCTCATCGGCATCATCGATGATGAAGACGTCGTCTGGGCGCAGGTTGCGGAGGCGAGAGATGCCATCCCGCGTGAGAAACGTGCGCAGGTAATCATCAGCAATCCAGCCATCCTGGCGGCCGCCAGGGGGGAAGTGGTCCAAGAAGACGTAGAGCACCTTGTGGCGGATGTAGTCAAAGGAGCCGTTGAGGAGCATCTCACGGAACTTGAGGGGCCGTGGCTCTCCATAGGCCGTGAAGTTTGACTCGCACACCACGAAGGCATCCACCACATCTCCCAGCTCGTGGAAGCGGACATCCAGCAAGTCAAACTCATGGTTGACGTTGATAGCGTTGATGACCCGCCGGGGGATCTCCCGCGGCACGAGGCGGTCCTTGGTGGGCAGGTTGGAGTACTGGACCACAGTGGGGACCCCACAGCTGGGGCCGTGCCAGCCCGGCAAGCACACGCACTCCACCCACTTGCGCCGTTTGGTCCCACTAGCGCTCAGCGGCTTGCGAACCGGCCGCCCCGAGGCTGCGCCATCTGCTCGCTCCTCCGGCCGCCCTCCCACAGGTGGCTTCTCCAACACCTTGGTGCCTGGTTTAAAGCAAACGCCACCAACTTTGGTACGGACAAAATACTCTGTCGTGTCTTCCGGCAGCACAAACTCGACTTTGTGCAGCTCTTCGCTGGCTCTGCTGGGAGGCAGGGGCTGGAGCAAGGGGGAGTGGGAGTACAGGGGTGTGCGGAGGAACTCTGCACCCCCTGGCTCAGGGCTGACCTGAGGTGTGACGGGGGCATTGTTCCAGAAGAAGCTGGAGACGAGGTTGGGACTAAGCGAAGCCAGCTCCCGGGGGAAGGTGACATAGGAAAGGGCCTTGAGGAAGTGCAAGAAGGAGATAAGGCAGAGACCAGCCATGCAGAGAGTCAGAAAGAGCTTATGGCGTCTCATCTTCATCCTGTGGAAAAGCCATGAAAAGGAAAGTCACGTTCAATAGTTACTGAGGTGTAAAAAGTTTACCACTGGTAGGAAGACAGGTTAGGGATGGCAGAAAGCTGGTCCAAATTCAGCATGCATCTGTCAAGACTTGAATCCAAGAACTACTCCCCCCACCCTCTGCCATCTTCAGTGGGCCTTTTTGCCTCAGCTGGGTTACACCAAGCTGAACCTCTTCTAGATCAGTCAGTCTTATAAACTCAAAGACAGGCACTGGTGCAAGGGTAAAAAGACAGGAAATCCAGAATACCAGGAATTCATGATCTAGTGAACTCACTGCACTTGGCAGATTTGTCCCTATTCATTGACAGAAGCAAAATGAACGTAGGCCTCCTCATGCCCTACATCACCAGAGGATGGGGGAAAGATGAAGAGAGAGTAGAGAGCAGGAGGGACGAGAGGGAGTAGGGGGCACACAGTTGAAACATGACCGGTGTAAGAGCGGCAGTTTTAAAGGACTGAGATCATTAGCCAGGCTGCCAGAGCCAGGAAGGCACCTACATTCCCCAGATCTTTTCAGTGTTTGCTCAACACACACCCTGAAAACCACCCTTGTTCCTAGGAAACGCTACCCAAGTTCACATGGAGTTCACATGGGGAACAGGGGGAAAAAAAAAAAAAAAAAAAAAATTAAGATTCTGTCACTTTTACTCTTCTCCCATCCTTCTCAAATCCACTGTATCTCCAAAGGTTGCCCTTTGCTTTTCGTTTTCTGTGGACCAGATGCTGAGGTTTTTTTGCATCTAGATCAAGGTGGCTAAAATAAACGCCCAGCTGTCTCCTCTGGTAATACTGTGCCATCATGATGGGTCCATGTCAGGCCAGCAAGAAACCAGCAGTGCTGAGTCCTTCCCTCCAAACAACACGAAATACTGCCTTCACGCTCTCCCTGCACCACCTCCCCTCCTCCAGCTCAGGCAGGGAAGGGGGGGGGGGGGGGGGAAGAAAAAAAATTAAGCTCACCCAATATTTCACCAAGGAAAAGGAGAAAAGGTGCTTGCCTTCTGCAGTTTAGGGAAGGGAAGGTTTAGGCAAAGGTGGGCAAGGGAAGAAGGTCAGCCAAAAGTCCTTTGCAACGCGGAGGCTGTCCTCTCCTCCCTGGAGCATGAGACCCTCCGTGCAGCAGCAGGCAAAGAGGCAGACATCCCCTCTGAGCCCTACGCACATGAGACGTATCGCTGCGCCCCCTCCACAACACGCTCCCCCGTGGCAGCTCTCCACCCCAGTGCCATCCCCCTCCCAGGGCCAAAGTTCCTGAGAGGCACCACACACTCCGTGCCATCACTTATAAACCCTCCCGCCCAGTGCGCAATGGTGCTGGCAACGCCTTCGCAGGAGGTAGTCCCCTCTCCTGGGGTGCCACAGGGAGCCACCCCATGCCACCGGCCCCACGCAGGGGCTGTCCTGGGGCTCCTCACAGCCAACACGTGTCCTGGAGCAGGAGTGGAGGGAAGAAACAGCCAGCCCGCTCCCATTGCTTCAGAGGGTATTAAGTGAAATACAGCAAAGCGCGTTTACTGATTAACTTGGAGAGAATTTAATACTGAAGTAAAAAGCCATAAAGCATTTAGACAGATGGCAACTGCCCAAAGGAAAACATATCTGGCTCTCTACAGATGGCTTTGATACGGACTTTGGTAGAGGGGAGGGCTTGTCTGCAGTTATACCTTACAGTTCAGCAACAAGCGTTGGGTCCCACGTCAAGCTCTGAAGGGGGGGGGGGGGCTGCAGGCCTGCAGCTGGCAGAAAAGTTACAGCATTGCCAAAGGAGGAAAAAAAAAGGGAGAGCATGATCCTATTTGTTAATATTTATTAGTTTTTTATATACTTTGACACGACACAGGTCAGCGGAAGGGCAAGGTCCTGGCTTTGTGCATCCGCAGGAGGCCGTCTTGTCAGGTGGGCTGGGAAGGAGGAAATAGCAGCTCTCCTCAGGGGACCACACCGGGGCAGGTCCTTGCCTCCTGCACCCACCTGCCACAACCCTGCAGCCTGGCCTCACGTGCCTGGGCATGGCCCAGCTAGTGGGAGGCCACCTCTGTGGTGGCCCAGCCATGAAGGGGATAGATGCTCTCCTGTTAAAAGCCATAAAAGACCATCCTGGGGCTCACTGTCAGTCAAGCTTTCTTCATGGGGGCAAAACAAGGGGCCCCCTGAGAAGCACCTCTTCGTGTCCAGGGGTTGGTTTTGTTTGTTTGTTTTTTTAAGGCTCCGTTAATGTCTTGCTGGAACAGTGAGATCACTTGCAAGGTAGAGGAGTATCCAGTGCCTTTTCCTTGCATGTCACCAGTTTTTGCTCTGTCTTGAAGTGCGGGGAAGAGAAGGGCACAAGGAAGCTGAAAACACTAAATTAGCAGTGACTGGCTGTCAGAAGATGTCCCTCACTGGTAAATTAGTACAGCTTTCTCTGATCAGGTGTCCTGTGCTTTCTTCGAGGCGTTACCTCCAGACATCAGGTCACCCTCTCAGATGCTGAAACCCAGGTGAGATGAACAGCTGGCCTGCTCCAATAAGGCAATCCCAATGGCTGCCAAGTAATGCTGGTTTCACTCCAGTTCCTACAGGACACACAAATGCAGGGCAGCCAGCTTCCTCTGGGCCAGCCCAGGACAGAGGACAGGTGCTGAAGGAGTCACACAAGGCACATCATCTTTTTCCCAGATGGCTGTGATGCTCCGCATGCCACCATAAATTCCCGGACAAAGGTCATAACTCTTGACATTCAACAAACTGCTTCACTTTCTGGGATGTGGTGTGCCATGTCAACATAGCAGGACACATGGTTTTAGGAAGTAAAGCATATTTTCCCCACTTGACATTTGCATACATGATATCTGTCAGGCTCAGCACACGGCTCTGCAGCTCTTCACCTACTGGCAAAACTCAGCCCATGCATGGCTGCGTTGCCTCCCTGTTATTGCAGTCTGCGCCTGGGAGAGCTGGGCTAGTGCGCACAGCCCTCCCCTGCAGCTCTGCCAAAGCAAGCTGGCCCTGCAGTACCCTCTGCTGTTTCGCTGCTGACATGTCCCAGGAGGCAATTTTCACTGCTCAGTTGCCTTTGTTAGGGAGTGGGAACATGAACACATTTCCTATCTCCTCCTAAAAGGAGGGAAGCAAAGAAGCAAGCTGTGTCCTCTTCAAAACCTCTTCCCTGGGAACCACCTCCATTCTCACATGCCAGGGATTCCTCTGCCAGGGAGTGGAGAGCACTCATACACCCTTGGGTGTGCTGAAATGCTAAAAACCATCAGTCACATATCCCTTTCCATATCCTCTGATCAGTGCTGCAGTGAAAGATGTGTCTTTGAGTGGTAGCTAACTGGAGACAAAGGCCAGCAGGGGAGGAAGATGTTATTACCCACCTTCCCCATCCAGAACATTTACGTGTGGTGGAAATGAGAAAGGAGGTACCAGTCAGGGAGACAACTCAGCTTGTCATAAAAGAGCCCAGCTGCTCTGTCACAAAGCAGCCATCAGTTACCAGGAACACAGAAAACAGCAAGAAGAGATATTTGCCTTCTGACAATTTAGAGTTGGGGGGGGGGAGTCAACTTGATCTCAGGGAGAGTGATCAAGTTGCTGTCAGGTTAAAAACAACAGCAAGAAAAGCTTTAATTTTCAAGTAGAAGAAAGAGCCAGAAGGAGTATGGACAGTCAGCTCCATTAAGACAAAGCTCTTTAGGGAACACACAGTTATAAACCGCTTCAGCAACATTTAGTCTCGGCAAGACAAGCTGAAAGCTTCTTTTTGTAAGGGATCCCTTTGATCCCTTGCTTGAAGTTACGTCTCTACCATGCAGGGAAAGGGCTTTCAGAGGAGGAAAGCTAGAAGTGGTATGCATGAGTTATCCCCAGGCACCTGTTACCATTTTACTTTGCCATTATATCAAGTGACCAGTTGATTTATACCATCCTGAAATCATATCCTGATTTTTCAAGAAGCCAGAGAGAAAGATATGCACTGCTAAGAGCTGGCAGTTCACCAGTCCTAATGTTCTCTTCTGGAGGACACTGGCAAGAGGCCATGCAACAGGCCGCTGGATGCACAATACCCCACACTCCATCTCGTTAGGGCACGGGACTCAAGACTCCCTAAACCCTTCCCATCGTTACAGGAGAAAAGCTGCTGTGGAGGACAAGTCAGAGTAGAAGCTTCTGTTTTTCCCCTGATACAGAGATGCTTATCTCCTCTGCCTAAAGTTATCCCATAACACCCATGCAGTAACATATTTGCCCATCACTCAGACACTTCAACACAAAGCAACAATTCAAATTAGAATCGCTTTCGCACAGCAGATTAAAATCCAGCATGACTTCCATCCCCCACTCCACACTGAGGGCCAAACTCTCTCTCTCCGCTCCAGCTGCGGACAAACAGGCTCCACACTTCTGAAGTACTAGGTCTACCTGCCATCCACAGGGCACAGGAATCACAACATGCATTGGGGTCACAGTACCTCAAAAATCTCAAGTTACTTTTGTCCTGCAAACACCCACAGAAGTAAGGAGAAACTATAAAACCTACTATTTGTCTACAACTGACATGTGACTAGCTCAAGGACAGCAGGACTGTGCTTTGCTTAAGGATAGGAAGAGAAGATTATCCTACAAAGCTGGACAGCAGGGAAAGTGGAGAGAAACGGGATGTACCAGAAGGTAGCTAGGGCGCAGCATTCCTCTCATGTGAAGGATGCCGTGCTGTTTTCAGGGACTGCAAGCTAGGAGGATGTCAGCAGGCAGTTCTGGTGGAGTCATAGTACAAGGTGGTTTAAATGCAGGTAGGTCCATATCGGCTTCTGTTCAAGTTTCAAGGACAGAATACAACGTTCTTCCGTGACCTTCATTGAGAGCTGCTGCCCACAGCGCTAATGCAAAACAGCAATACCTCATGCTATGTGTTTCCTTTGCAGCTTCAAGGCAACTGACCACAAGGTGCCACTGACTTGCTGCCAGCACAACCA